GAGGACAAGGCACTGGTCAAAACAGAAGGTGATACTAATGCAGGGGTGGACGCTTACACAGTTCTTGACACACTGAACAAAGTTAAAGCTGAGGCACTGGTCTATACGCAGCCTCACACGTTTCCACAAGTGTAGGCCAACAGTGTTACCGACACATTGACCGGTCAAAACAGAAGGTGACGCTGTTGCAAGACTGGAGGGTTACACAGTTGTCCAAACACTAATTAAAGTTGAGGCTGAGGCACTTGTCTATACACAGGCTCACACGTTTGCACAAGTGAAGGGCAAAGAGGTTAACCAAGACACTGAAACGCTACTAGAGGTAGAGCCCGAGACACTATGAAACACACCGGCCGATGTGACGACCGAGGCACTAATTGATGCTCTGGCTGACACGCTACCAGAGGTAAGACCCGAGACATTTCGTGAATGACTGGTCGATGTAAAGGCCAGGACACTCCACGAGAATAGACACTATGCGATATGGAGGCCAAGCCAGTGGTCAAAAGGCTAACAAACACGCTAGCAAAGAATTGAGGCCGAGACTCTTAGCGACACACAGGTCGAAGTCGAGCACTTGGCACTGCTGAACATGCTGGTCGACATGCTAGCAGAGATTGAGGCCGACATTGTTTTGCGTGACAGTGGGTCATGTGGAGGCCGAGACACTTGTCAACACGATTCAATACAGCCTACCAGAAGTAGAGGCCCAAACAACTGTCGACGCTCTGCGCGATATGGACGCTAAGGCATCAGTTAACACGCTGGCTGACAGGGGGCGAACGCCGACAAAGTTGGGGAGAAACTGACGGATGTGATCAGCGCATCACTAGTTTAAACGCTTGTCGTTTCTCTCGCAGAGGTGGAGGCCAAGACCGTTGGCAAAACACTCGGCGACGTGGAGGCTGACACTGGTCGACACGTTTCCTGACACGCTACCAGAGGTGTTGGCTAAGACAATTGCGGACCCACTAACGTGTGTGGAGGTCAAGGCACCGGTCAAAACAGAGGGTGACATTGATGCAGGATTGGAGGCTTACACAGATGTCGACACAATAAATGAATTTGAAGCTTTGGCACTGGTCTATCCGCAGTCTCACACGTTTTCTTAAGTGCAGGCCAAAAGTATTTTCGACACACTGAAACGCTACCAGAGGTAGAGCTCGAGACACTAGGAAGCACACTGGCCGATCTGATGACCGAGGCACTATTTGATTCTGAGGCTGACACGCTAGCAGAGATGGAGGCCGAGACACATACCAACAAACTGGCCAATATAAAGGCCGAGACATTAGACGAGATGCGATACTAAGACATATGGAGGCTAAGTATATCAACACACTAAAGTATATCAACACACTAAACAAAGTTGTAGCTGAGGCACTTGTCTATACGCAGGCTCACACGTTTCCACAAGTGCAGGCCAAGAGTGTTACCTACACACTGAGCGATATGAAGGCCAAAACACCGGTCGAGACACTGACTGACGCAAGCAGAAGTGATGGCAGAGATACTAAGCGACACACTGTGCAATATCGAGGGCGAGGTACTTGTTGATGCTCCAGGTGGCACGCTACTAGAGGTCGAGCCGGAGACACTAAGAAACACACTGGCCGATGTGATGACCGAGGCACTAATTAAAGCTCTGTTGAGACAATTGGGAAAACACTGGGCGACGTAGAGGCCGAGGCACTAATCGACACGCTTTCTGACACGCTATCAGAGGGGGTGGCCGAGACAATAGGCAACACAATGGCCGATGTGAAAGCGGAGGCACTACTTGATGCTCTGGCTGAGACACGGTACCAGAGGTCGAAGCTGAAACACTGGACGAGACACTGGTCGAAGCGCTGCATGACACGCTAGCAAAAGATGGAGGCCGAAACAACTGCTGAGACACAGGGCAAAGTGAAAACCAGGGAACTGCTCGACACGTTCGCTTATATCTTAGTTTAGGTGGAGGCTGAGGTACTAGTCAACACAGTGGTTGTCACGCTAACATCAGTGAAGGCCGAGACACTTGGAGACAGTGGAAGAGGTGGACGCTAATGCACTGGTTGACCAACTGGCTGACAAGCTTTCAGAGATAAAGAACAAAACACTTGTCTACACGTGTTCATCTGGTTTCCGAAGCACTATTGAACACGTTGGCTCACACGCTAGCTAAAGTAATATGTGATATGGTAGCCTGGGCACTGGTCGAAGTGCTTGCTTATATGGTATCAGAGAAAGAGGAAAAGACACATGCCGCGACACCCGAAGAGATGTGGAGTTTAACGCATTGCTCAAGGCGCTGGCTGAAAGGCTAGCAAAGGTAAAGGCCAAGACAGTTAACCACACACTCGGCCATGTGATGGCCGAGGTACTGGTGGACACAATGACTGACACGGTACAAAGGTAAGAGAGAGAATAATGCCGACATATTGAGCTATGTGAAGGGAGGTCGAAGTAGAGGCCGAGGCACTGCTCGAAGCGCTGGCTCACACGCTAGCAGAATTGGAGCTCCAGAAACTTGGCGACACTTTGGCCTATGTGGAAGGCAACGCTTGCACGATACGACAATTGAAGGCGGAAACACTTGTCAACACACCGGGTGATGGGTAGGCCGAGCGACTGGTCAACACGCTGGCTGGCATGGAAGTAGAGTTGAAGGCCAAGACACTTGGTGCCACATTAGGCTGTTTGGCGCCGAGACACCCGTCGACACACTAGCTGACACTTGCACAAGTGGTGGCCGAGACTGTTGGCAAGAAACTATGAAAGTAAAAGCTAAGGGATTGCTCTATAGGCAGACTGACACGATTCGATAATTAAAGGTTAAGAGATTTAGCGACACACTAGGCGATTAGGAGGCTTTGACACTGGTGGAGATGCTGGCGGAACGGCAAGCAGAGGTCCGAGCCGAGACAGTGGGCGATACACTTTGCAGTGTTGAGGCCAAGCAATTCTCGATACTCTGGCTGAAAAGTTAGCAAAAGTGCTGCCTGAGACACGAAGCGACACACTGACCGATGTGAAGGCCGAGGAAATAGTCGATATTGCCGGGACACTGGAGGAGATGAGACACTAAGCGATATGGAGGCCAAGCCAGTAGTCGAAACGCTGGCACACACCTACCAAAGAATAGAGGCCGAGACACTTAAAGACACACAGATCGAAGTAGAGACAGAGGCACTGCTCGACGTGCTGGCCCACACGCTGGAGATTAAGGCCGACAACTTTTTGCTAGACAGTGGGTGATGTGTACACAAAGGCACTTGTCAACGTGATGCATTACAGCCTAGCAGAGGTGGAAACCGAAACACCTGTCGACACTCCGCGCGATTTGGAGGCTAAAGAATCGGCCAACAAGCTCACTGACAGGGTAGCAGACCTAAAGGTCGAGAAAGTTGGCGGCACACTGACGGATGTGAAATGCGCATCACCATAGTGTCGTCAACAGGTGAAATACTTTGCTCATAAATTGTGCTTCTTAATTGCTCATGTACTACATCGATCGATAGTTCACGAAGCATCCACGGCGTTCCAAACCTGACGCTCACAGTCATCTTTTCAGTCTTTTAGTGTGAACCTACCGTGAACGGCGTGTCGGTTTGAATGCAACGCGACCATTTCTCTGAGTTTCCCAGCGCCAACATCATCTAACTGACTTAAACTCGAACAATAAAAAAATTATAGAGTTACTCCCATGGTCGAATAGCTTCGAACAACGCAAATAGCCTTCTTCAGGTTCGCAACGCCTTGTGGGTTTTTCAGGGGGAGCGTAGACAAGGTACAAAAAGTATCCGTGCAAGGGTTCATGCAAGAGAAAACCCTATGAAACCATTTGTGAGAACATCGTTTCTACGTACCAGACCCTCGTGTTTTCCCTCCCCCGGATGACCACTTTGTGACACCGACGACCGAAAACCCATTTTATGACTGGGCTTGCCGGGCAGCCCGGTAATAAAGACTTTTCAACAACACTTTCTGTATGTGTTTTGTTTATATATTCGAGTTTTAGCGCCAACTAAGATATAGTAAGCCGTTTCTTGCGTTGCTAGGCGATCCCTTTCTTATTCCTAGTTCTCTTTTAATAGACGTTTAAACCGGGCTCAAGTTACTTACCGGGCAAGTCTAAGCAAGCCTATTGTTTCTCTTGTATGAGAAATGCACAAAAGGGAAAAAAATGAGATTCCCTCGCATTATATTTATGAGATAAAGACAAAAGGCAATGACATCATCCATCTAAAAATAGCACATGACCTTATCTTTATGAGATTCCTGCGCATTTTATTCATGAGATAAAGAAAATAGGTTATGACGTCATTGGAGTTAATGTCTTCCTGCGCAAGTTAATGAAATTCCTGCGCAAAAAAGAGGCCTATACTACTCACAGTGCGTGACACCAGAAAAGGAATGCTGTCTCGTTGAAAAAAGGTCGGTCCTCTTGATTTTCTGCAGTATACGCATTTCAAGTATTAGAAGATATGTTTATGCACACGTATGCTAGTTCTCGAGTGAAAAGAAAGAGCTTTTATAGAAAAAGTGAACTTCAGACGTTTTTGTTGATTTCCGGCGGCCATATTGGTGCACCAAAACGGTGCACCAATATGGCGTCTCCATACAAAGCTCTACAAAGGTGTATGAAACGTTTCGGCCAGAAAGACCTGAAACTTGGACAAATCGTTTAAAAATTAACCTGTTATAACATTCATTTTCTTAGCTTCTTCCACTGGACGGTTTATTTCCAATTTATTTTCTTGTTGCCTGACAGTGAAAACGATCTATACATAATTACTTTGTCAATTAGTTTCTTTCAATTTAGTTTCCTGACGCTACTGTTTATACTTAACTTACGCGTCTTTACTACACAAAATACGTTTCAATAACTATGGTGACTCTTCAGCAGCAAGCATGTTTCATTTTGTTCACCTAATTCATGTTTTTTTTGCCGGTACGAAAAAGGTTTGTTGAACTTTGTAAGCGATAGAATAAAGTTTGTTTAATTACAGGATTAATAATACTCGCCTTGCCGTTCAAACTTCTAAAACCACAATTCATAGGCCGCATACTCCAGGCTAGAATGAAAGTCCATATCTAAATTTCAATTCTTGTTTCCTCGGAAGAACTTTGAAAAATATATGATCTTTTACACTCTACCTTGAAGCAGGTGAAACAGAACTCATAAATTATGAAATACGCGCGTTGTACCGTTCGCGATAGCCGAATTAGGTCAGATTGTCTTGAAGCAGCACCCACACTTAAATATAGATCCTTAAAAAGCTGCATCACTGTACTCAGAGTTTGATTCATGAATATATTTCAATGTTATGCTTCTAAACACCTTTAGACGTAACAAAAGACGAAAAAATTGTGAAGAATCAAGATGGCGGTCTCAAAATGCCCGTTTGACCTTTAGCAATGTGATGTTAGATGCCAAATGTCATTGGTTCCTAGGCATTAACTCATAGTAACTTCACCCTTGTTGGCCCTGCAACAGACATCCGAACATACAAAGCCACAAAGCCACAAAGATACATACGCTCAAACCACTGACAAATGGGCTATTTTTTCAAAAAAGCTCAATAAACAAACCATCAAACCAACCTTGATTCACAGAAAAATTCATTTAGTAGCGGCGCCGTATTTCGCGACGCTCCATAGTGTTTACGCATAAATTCACCTGTCAAACTTTTGACCAATCTGAGATTAGTTTGGTCCTGAAGCGTGGCCAAAAACGAAGATATGTCCAAGTTTACCAAAAACGTGACCAAGTTAAAAGGATATCCTTAATTTAAAAAGTATTCTGGAAAGTTTTTGTTTTAAGTCACTACAAGAAACTCCAATCTGGCTTTTTACTGGAGTAAATATATTGGTTGCTTCTAAACTGGTTAATTTTATGCCAAGACAAACGCAAGTTGCATGTCTGGGACTCCCTTTCCCTTCCTTAAAGATTCTCCGCTACCCTATTCCCAGTCTGTACGGTCAGGCGGACGTACGCTGATGTCACAACCAAATATATTCTTGCATCGATAGATATTTCTCAAGCAACGAAGGCTCCGCAGAGCGCGCGCACGCCCCTTTATAATAAGTGCATAAGACCTACTAAAACGGGTCAAAGGATTAAGATAGATTAAACGTAAACTACTCTGGTAAAAACGAAATGTCTTAAAAGACTTCTTAAAATTGGTAAAAGAGGGGATACTTTTTACTGCAAAAGGCGACGTCTTTCGAAGTCTAAGGAGGTGTTTACATGTGAAAACTCGCACAGGCGCGAGTCTTTCGTATTTCGTATCACGTTTACATGATGACTGGTCATTTCATATCTCGTTGTTTGAAAGTACACTTCATGTTGATAAAATACACGTGTGATTCAAAATCGCAAACATTAAGAACGCGCTACTCATTCCAGTCTACCGGCAGACCGATTTCACACCGAAACGCGTAGTCGTTTCGCGTTTACATGGTACCGCTGCGAGATTTCGTACCGGAGTGAAATTCTCGCGCCGGTACAAAGAACCGGGGTGAGCTCAAGTTGGGGTGACTCGCACCGGCATGACATTTTGTGGTGGTATCATGTAAACAAATATAGAGCCATGAGAGGAAACCGGAGTGAACTCGCTCCGGGGCGAAAGTCGCCACGGTGTCCTGTAAACGCCCCCTAAGAGCAACAACAGGCAGCAGGTGAAGGCTATAAAACAATGGTGTTATTTGGAAGTATTTAGGTTCCTCGAAAATTACCTTAGCCGCAGCATGTTGCACCCCTTAAACACAGAGCATAACTTCGTACCTTGGCATATTTTACGGAATATAGTGCAAAACATTGTACCCTCACCTGCTTTAAACGATGCATACATTCGCCACGTGATCTATCCCAAATACAAAGCACACTCTCCAGACTTACGCTAAGCAAATGCTCTGCTGTGCAGGCGACTGAAGTCACAGATTTAACGTGACCACGCAGGTGCTGCAAACATTCGCCATTTATTACATCCCACACGCGTACGCCTCCGTTGGCCGCCCCGCTGACCACTTGACGGTTGTTGGTCTGAAAAGCAAATGGGTTTAAACGGAAGGAGGGTTGCAGGAAATTGAAGAGGGAACGTCACAAAACCCCAATAAAATCCTTATTGGGGGTGTTACTGAAACGGGGAACGGGAAAATGAGAAATGGGAACAAAACCTAACTTGAACCCTAGCCTTCATTTCCAGTTCTCTGCTTTGTTCCCATTTTTCCTTTCCCCGTGCTCATTCCCAGCTCCCCGTTCTAGTAACTAAAATGGCTGTAAGGCTTTGGTAAAAAAAAAAAAACCAAAAAAAGCCAACAACAACAACAACAACCAAACAACTAAATGAAACAAGAATAAGCAAAATATGAAATAAGTAAATAAATAAATAATAAAATTATTAAAATTGATCTAATCAAGCCAGCTCAGGAACCAAACAAGACTTGACATCTACTCTCCCGTCCAGAAATCATTTCAGCCAAAGACGTATGATGCGCCTCTTTTCAGTCTTCTTTACCTTATCGATAGTAAGGGCAGTGATACTGTCTGCATGTCCGTGTAATGTGTACACACAGATACACTCATCTGTTCGAAAAACCTAGAAAAAAGCGAAAATATACATGGTAACTGTAACAACGAAGCACATTTATCTACCTTTAACACATTTGTGTTAAGATAACAACAAACGAATATACAGCGCACTTGGCACCGGCTTCTAGTCAAGAGTGCAGGAAGTGTAAAACTGCGGTCGATTTGAAAGAAGTTCACGAAACAACATATAAAATTGTGTTTACTTTCACTTTATCGTTTGTACTTTCTTTACTGATCAAAAAAAAATTTCTAAAGAAACTACGGCTTGAAAATGACTCTCAGTTTGTCCATTTAAAAGACTATCCACTTGAAGCAGGGAATAACAGAAAAACATCAATACCTACCCGAAAATGGCCCTCAGGTCTCAAATGGCAAAATATTGTGCTTAAGGGCTCTATTAACACACACGAACGGTCTCGTCCAGTCGCTTTGTAAAGCAACAGTGCACTGTGGAAAAGGTTGGATCTAAATACTGCAAAGAAACCCTTCCACACTGGAATTTGTGGCCTGATTTAATAGGAGTCGGGTCCAGCTGCTTTTCGAGAGGACGTGTCATTATTAAAAAAACTGGCAAAGTGCAAGTTTTCACCGTGATGCACTTTAGTTATTATGCAAGGAATCGCCTTCGTGATAAAAATGACATACTAACCTTAAGTGTTCTGTCGTGACTTCCGGTAATAATGCGTCCATCCATGACATCCAAGACACTAATAGGCTGGTGATGAGCCCATAGTTTCTGACGTATTCTGCACAACGGGTTCTCTGACAAACTGTGTGCGTGGGAGTTACCAAAAGCGACTGCTGTAGAATCCCCACTGAGTGTCGCATCAGTCGTTTTACTTGACTGAGTATTAATTTTTCGAGTAAACCTCGGTGAGGAACGTTTTATTGGTGAACTTTCCTGTAGGGGCAGGTCTAAACGAGGTCTACTGGAAAATCCAAGCTTATAAAACTCTAACGTGCCATCCAAGCGAGCCAAAACAAATTGAGCACTGAAAACACAACACAGAGTTTAGTTTACTTTACTGATATTTGTCAAGAAAAAAATTACATACATACAAACAACATTAAGCTGATAGAAGATGAAAACAGGACAAGAGCCCCAATTGAATTTCAACCCCTACAATGTCTTTCGCGGGTTTACAACGAACCAATTCAACGACCTGCTCCCAGTTGGCTTGTTAGCTCAATTGGTAAGAGCGCTGCACCGGAATCGCAAACGTCGAGGGTTCGCCGAATAAAATACAAGCTTCAATTTTTTTTCAAGCTTTCTTTTCGCAACTGCAAAAGTTGTACAATGGGACAAAAAAGATGTATATGAAGGAAGAAAGAGTGTGAGCAAAAAGAGTGTGCTACAGGTGCAACTATCGCGGCCGATAGGAACTTTGCCTGGTCTTATAGTGAGCATGTAGAAAACTTTTAAACAGTTGAGCACAAGTAGCATGCATAAAATGAGGAAGACTATTCCAAGCCCTAACAGTCCAGGTGAAGTACGACTTAATAAAGTAATCCTGGTTATGAAAGGGCAGAAGAAGGAAACTTGCAGCGTCGCAATTTCGAGTAGTGTATCGAGAAACGATCGAACTTTGCAGTAACAGCTGAATACGTGAACTTAAACAGGGAAACTAAGTCATGTATATCTCTGCGTATCTCTAAGGGAAGAAAATCAAGTTGTTCCAGTCTGTAAAGTAAGCTACATGTACTTCCCTGGGCGGATAATGTATTAAGAACTTAGTTCCGCGGCGCTGAATATTTTCTAGCGAACTGTGATGCTTTACTGAGTAAGGAGACCAACGGCAAGATGAGTACTTTAAGGTGGATCTAGCTAACGACATATACAGTAGTTTTCTAGTTGGAACGTTGGATACATCTTGACCGCATACGCGCTTGACTAGACCGAGAACTCTGTTGCCCTTAGCGCACAGTTCCTCAATGTGAGTGGCCCAAGACAGCTGCCCCGTCACATCCACCCAAAGGTCGGAGACTTCAGAAACAGACGCCAAGTTGTGACCAGAGAGCTGGAAGCTGTGTTGGGGTCCTCGCCAGAATCTCTTCCTAGTCATATGTAAGACTTTACATTTGGCGGTGTTGAACCTCATGACATGATAAATGCTCCAGAAGTGTAAACAGTCCACGTCCGCCTGAAGGGAGACGGCAGAACTTACAGAATCAATAGAGCGGAAGAACTTAGCTCACTGTCGTCTGCGAACACGGCATAGCCTGTTCCAGGAGTTCAGATAGTAGAGCGCGGCGGTAAGTGGGAAGCGAGTTGAGTTGTACACCGGGAAAACGGGGGGGGGGGGGGACGGGGGGTGGGCGAGAGCGAGAGAACGCCTGTAAACAATGTTAACAAAGGGTCGTTCCGGTATACTGGATTCCAGTATACCCTCTTATTGGTCGATTATGACACCTGTTAACACTCGAGCACTGGTGACATTGATGAGGAATGCGATATGGAGGGAGAGAGACATCTGTTAGCGAATCACGCGGACATCGAAGCTACTATAAACAATGCAATCGAGAATTTCCTGTATGAGGAATATTTTTTGAAGAGCAGAAAATTTGCTTGAATCTCGTTCCCGAGGCCAGCACGCTTTCGCAATTCTTCTAACGGGCTCTGGGAGACCTTCATTTTTCTAGTCTTTCCACGAGTAATAAACGTAATCACAGGAAAAGTTGGCGAGTCAATTTCCACGATCATCATCGTTGCGCCTCTCGTAGCCATAATGAAATCAAAAACTCAAGCGATTTGGAATAACAGCAACAACAGCCATAGGTTGGGGACAGGAGGAAGGCATGGACGAAGACACGGCAATGTGAAAGGAAGGTGTGCGTGTCATCATTTATGGAAGCCCAGAAAGGCAAAAAAAAATGTTATTTGAAAGGTTATTTAGCCGCAATAAAAAGATTAATGCTTTAACAGAGGTCAAAGAAAATCAGTACTTAACTGCATCTGGAATCAAATTCTTTCAGAAACAAACCGCAGGAAATAATTGCCCAGTATGCATGACTGACCGTCTAAATGTTAGGTTCAGAGCGACAGAAATTAGATTTGCTTAGTTAAAAGAAGGAAGACCTCTGATGTTGTTTATTGAAAGCTAACTGAAAGGTCACGTTTCACACTATCACGAGCTTATGGGTCGCGTGCGTCTAGCCTGTCAGCACTTTGTAGTTCATGTCGCAGTTACGCGGTCGGCGGTTAATTAAGAGCGGAAAGAGCTCTGTAAGGGAATGTTTACAGGCGTTTTCTCCCCCTTTCCCCCTCTAGTCTCCCCTCGTTTTTTTTCTTCGTGAATTTTTCCCCCGCGCTCTACTATCTGAACGCCTGGAACAGGCTAAACACGGCAATGCTAGACCCATCGTGAATGTGTCTAGGCATGTCGTGTTTTGTGGGCCTAAAATGGAACACTCTAGTACCCCTGATGTCACAGGTAACCAGTCCGAAAATGCACCACCCAAGACAACGCGCTGATATCCGTTTGACAGGTAGCTTAAGAACCACTGTGGGACGGAAACCTGACACGCCATACTGTTGAAGTTTGGTCACCAATAGGTGACGCGGTAACTTGTCGAATGTTTTTGAGAGGTTAAGGTGTCTAACGTAAACTTCCCGTCCTCCCGCCTGACCGCCGTCAAGTCCAGAATTAGTCCAGAGTTAGTATTGAGTGCATTATTCGCCTGGCAGCACGCACAGCGTGCTTTCTATACCACCGATCAACTGTGATAAAACCCTTTAGCTTAAGCTCGTGTTCTATTAGGATCGATCGTTTTTGTTGGTTGGGTATTTTTGGTGTCCTACTGGGAAAAAACAGTTTTTAGTTGGTTCAGCCACCTCAGAAAGTGGTTAAAATGGTTGAAAACCGTGGGTAGCATCCATAAGCAGGCATCCATTTTCAAGTGTTGCATTATTTCTTCTGCGAATTTCGCGCATCACATTTGCGTGAACTGCTCGCGTTGGCTCCACGGAAAACTTATCAACAAACAGCGATGGCGTCTTAATACGCAACTTCAAAGCATTTCATAAATCAAGCGTGAAAAATAAGAAGGTTTGTAAATATTTAAATATATCCACTTCTTCACAGATCCAAATAGTTTACTAATAGTTGGCGAAAAGCATTTTATAACTAGGCTTTTGTTTTGAGACACAGGGAGTGCTGTAAATTTTAAAATTCAATGAATGACAAATCAGTTAAGAAATTTATTTTCTACCTGAAAAAAACCTGAAACAAAGGGATTCCAGCGTAATTAACAAGTATTTTACCTCTACTTATTGGATGGAAAAGTGTTTTATTGGGAACTCCAACCAGAACCGCTTTTTCTTACAACGGTTGCTTCCAATAGAACATGACTAATTGCAAACCGCACATACTGGCTGATACTCAGTCACATTCAGCAAATAATTCCTAGAGTTTAATCAGTCAAATAAAACGGTAACGACTGACATCTATGACCTGTGATAGCGGCCACAAGTTTGTTTATTTGTTGCTGATCCGCATCAGGCAAAGTGCTCGTTTCTTCGATCGGTCGAAAATTCATATCTCCTTGGAGAGTACGAATCTTTAGCGTTTTTTACCTTACAAGGCACGCATCTGGCGGTAAATCGGATGTAACCGTTCGTTGTGGATCATCAACCTTACTACCGCCCTTAAATGCACGCTTATGAGTGGCAATCAGATCTAGGTCAAAGTTGATGCTGTGCAACTTATATTTTAAGACACTTAAGTTGGTAGAAAACATAGAATTCCCTATCCTTACCTGTTGAATAAAAATTTAAGTTTGGTCACGCCCATGGAACTTTCATGTGATACATACACCAAGACACCTGACGACACACTCCAGATCTAAGCAAAAAGGGAGTTGAATAATGAATGGGTATGCAAGCAACAGAAGAAAACACGAAACGGAAATGCATCTAGTTCCTTGCTAACAGACGACGAAAGACGTTTATGTGGAAATTTCAACTTTCTAACCACGGTTAATATAATGAAGACCATGGCGTGTTTTATATCACGAAGTGTTTAGTACAAATGCGAAGAGGAGGTCACTCTTTTATAAGCATTTTTTTTTAAGAATAACTTTCATGCTCCCCCTTTTTCCCGTTACCTCAATAGTACCGTCGCTACAGCCTGTCACCAACAAATCTCCTTTACAATCAACACACCACACAGAGGTTCCGGTAGATTCATTCTTAGAGTCATTGCTAGTCTGCGAAAAAACCTGCTCATCAGCAGACTCCTCCGAGCTTGTTAACCTCCCTGGGTCCTCTCCGTCCGCGCTTGACCAGGAGCTTGTAAATGAACCTCTAGAGCTTACTCTTGTTGACCAGGCAGGAATTCCCGCGCCATTTGCGTATTTACTGAAGTCAAAACCCGCAGTCTTTGAGCAATCACGATTTAAGACCTCAACAAAAAAAAAGAATAAATTGTAATTAAGCGAAGCAATTTATGGATCAATAGTTGATAAGGAGGAAATATACTATCTTAAAGTCCATTACTTTTTTGCTGGTTGGTTATACCACCTCGCGACTTCATCGCTCGCTTGGTCGCTGCGAGACCTCACTAAATATATTCTCAAATTGCCTTTTTCCTGGACAATTTATTACATGGATAGACTTAAAACTTTGGATCTGCTTCCATTAACCTTCTTGCACGAGCATCTAGATGGTGTGTGTGTGTTTTTTTAAGTCATTTATGCTCTCGTATCGGTAGTTCCATCAATTATTCCTAAAGCTCGCATCACGAGGCCTACCTCATCGTCATCAAGTGGTGTTATTAAATTCGTAGAGCCTAAATGTTATGCAGTCAGCAACTTATCAAAAGTTATATATCATCAGACGCATACGCGTCTGGAACGTTGTTGCTGATGAACTGAACCTGCGCATGAACGCCCTGAATGATTTTAAACAGCCAATGGAAGAGTATTAAGTTATTACGACAGGGAAAATGCCCGCACTTTTAAGTCTGTCTTCTGTCTTAAATGTAATACGTGTCGTAGTCTTGCCCAGCCTGTCTCGTGTTGCTTTTAATTTTGTGATTATGTATTTTAACTATTCTTATATATTTTAATTCTCTGGGCCCGCAGTAACTGGCTCACGCTGTTGCGGAATCCCTGCCACTTTATTTTCCTTTGTTACTTTGTTTGATTACCCGAAGCTAATAAAATAAAATAAAATAAAGTATATCTCGCTTCCCTGCTTTTGCTCATTTAAGCTCGCTTCGCTGGCTTTTAAGAACTTATGAGAGGTCGACTTGTAATGCACCAGTCAATGTACCCCCCTCCCCCCCAACCGTATTTCCTCAAATAATAGCCGTCCCTCGATTAACCGCCTCCCTCGGATAATCGCCCTCCTTTGGTAGAAATATTTAAAATAATCGCCGCCCTCGAATAATCGCTCCCTCCCCATCTCTCTCGCCATCTTCTCTTTCTTTTATCCCCTCCCTGTCAAGTTGAAGTGGAACCTGATCGAGCAAAACTGATGAGTGACGATTCAAGCGCTGAAAATTACTCAAGGGACCAAATTTAGAACACTTAAAAAGCCCATGTTCAGTTTATTTGATGTGATAATTTTTTGATTTAATGGAATAATAAAACAAAATATTTTGGGCACGACTTCCAGTGAGCAATATTTGAAACAATCGCCTCCCTCGAATAATCGCCCTCTTTTGATGCGAAAAAAGAAGTATCGTCCCTGGCTATTATTCGAAGAAATACGGTGTATTTAATAAAATATTCATCAAATCTTAAATTATACGTCTTTAACAAAAGAAAAAACAAATGGGAGAACAAAATTTATACTCGTCTGGAAAATTACACTGATATGTTAATTTTATCCCAGGTGGTTCTTTGAGAAAGAATCCAATGTGTCGTGCGAATGAGCTTTCATTTCGTACAAGAGGCCAATTGCACTAAGAGGTCATGTGGCATCATTTTGCCTTCAAAAAACCATTAGTGGGTCATATCTTAAACAAAATAATGGTCATTTAGTTTTTCAAACTCGCACCATTTCTTAAAAGCATGAATGCTTCAGGGTAACCATAACAACAATCTACTGTTTTAATCCTAAATTAAGACTATGTTTTGTGCGAAATTGGGTATTGCTGTACATTAAAGAAAGCGCGAACCGCTGCGCACAGCTGAGTCGATCCTCATACTATAGTCATAGATTCACTTTTTTTGTTTTTTCCTTGCAAAATAAACAAATTGTTAAAGTCCTAGGGAATATCAACTCACCAAACGTTGCTTAGAGGGAAGACTCGAAGGTTTCAAGGTTTCTTCATGGTTTCTTAAGATCAAAGTGAAGCTTGTCGAATACCGAATAGCTGAGAAATGCTACGATTTTCATCATTGTTGTAGATGGTTGCATCATCATTATTCACGAGGTTACAATTGTCACTTGCGATTCTAATTAATGAAACAGTCTTTAACTCTGACGACTTGATTCTAAGTGTTATAAGTTGTTGATTCTTAACTTCTTCGTACCTTCAAGTAACTATTATCACTGTGAAAAGCTAGTCTTAAACGGCTCTCTGAAAGAGCATTTTTAATAAAGTGATACCGTAAATAAAGCTTGATTGATTGATTGAGATATACAGTCACACAGTTTGCAAGTGAAAGTGTTGGACTTTGCCCCTTTCGTGGTTCGTATGTGAGGAATTCGAGTGATGATCCAATAATCAGGATCATAAAATAACTCGTGCACATAATTTGCACGTGAAGGTGTTAGCTTTTGTCCCTTTTACAATTCGTACGTAAAATAACGCAAATTGTTTACTAGAAAATTTGCTCAAACGATTTTAAGAAATCACCTCGGCTTTATAATATCTGCTTCTAAGACCCTGTTTACATGGAGTGGGGGACCCCGGTCTAGTGGGGTAAGTTTCTTTTGTTTTGTGTCCTCCAGAGCGTGAAAACAAAAGAAACCAACCCCACTAGACCGGGGTCCCCCACTCTATGTAAACAGGCCCTAAATTATGCCTCATGCAAAGTTAACGTTGATACCCTAACATTCATTTCCTTCCAAGAAAATTAGCAAACTGCCGAAAAATATTTCTACTCATATGATGTTATTCCACTCGATAAAAGAATATGTAATTATTTTTTCAACTAGCTTCTTTCAATTTAATAGCCCATTTTCGAGTTCGCTATGGTCCTTGAATTAAACAAGTGAAGACGCATTTTTTACAGTCTTAGCCTCCACCTGAAGTAACGAATTCACAAATTCCAACGAGAAAAAGACCAGGGCCGAGGTGTTCAAAGCTGGGTTAAGATAACCTAGGGTTAGTGCGAAATTTGAATTTAGATTTGAAAGCTTAAAAAGCATTTCAGTTTTAATTCTTTTTGTCTACAAGTTTATTATTGGAAGCTCTTAAAATAACGGAGAAATTTATCCGAGAAAATGCTTTTGAACGCAAGAAAAAGAAACCCGGGTTAAATTTAACCCCGGGTTAAGCGCTAATCGGCCTTCGAACAACTGGGCCCTGTTTATTACTCTGTCTATTGTGTATACAGCTATATATTTCGAGAATGGTTGTCGGATAAAATGTGCACGCGACAATCCCAAAAGGTAATAGCGGAGCTCCACGCGCGCGCGTAGGCGGAGCCCCATAGCTAAGGTAATCTACCCATCCCAGAAAATTTGGTAATCACGTGACCGTACACCGAACGAACGACCGTCCGCACCACAGGGAAACCAATGTTTCCTCTCACACTTTCTAGCCAGTTTAGGAGCCCAGAAGAAAACTAATTGCACATCAATGTTGTCATCAATTGACAGCTGCCAAAACAGGGTATCCGCTGACCAGTATCACCTGACCGTACCGCGGGCTCAAGTGTCGACCCATCGAGGTCGAGTATTTTATCCGTTGACAAATTACCAGTTTCAAATGATCGCAGGCTCAAGTTTATTTTTTCCAATGATCATATGAAATATGTTGTGTTTCTGGGCGCTTTCCATTTAGGAAAAAAAACCGGAAATTTCGGTGGGAGCAAAAGTGGAATTTCCGATTGGTAAAAAGTTGTTCCATTTGGTCTTAAACCCCGGTACGTCGCGGTGCCCGACCGCGGAGCTGGAACTGGTACAAACTACGAGAAACGTTAATGGAACACGACATTCCGTTCGGAAATTCCAACCGGGAAACCGGGTCCATCTTTTTAGATTTTCCACTTTTTCTGGGAATTTTCCAGTGGGACGCACCGACGAAACGTGTTCCATTTACCGCCGAACCAGAAATTCCGGAAATTTTGACTAAATGGAAGCGTCCTATGTCACTATGGCCACGCACTATTAAGATTTTGATTTCAAACTGACCTCGGACGCTAAAATTCAGCCAGTTTTTTAAAAATACAGGCGGGAAGACCATTTCTTACCATGGACACACGTTGGTCACGCTCTGCGTCCAATTTTTATGCTCTGATTGGTCAAAATTTGACAGGTGAGTTCATGCGGAAAATTTATGCAGCATCTTTGACAGCTTGCGCTGAAGCTTACAGAGTTTTCTGTCAACTTGTGATGTTTTTAACTGTCTTTTTCCACTGGATGTACAAAATGAAATACAGCTGCTATCAAGAGTCTTCTGTTCTAATAGCTTTTGCAATACTGTAATTCCTTTATGGTCATGCAAATAAAGCTTTTGGTGTTGTTGTTATTCATGGCTGGTTTGTTTATTCGGTTTTTGGTTGAGAAATGCGTCGCTTGTCAAAATTCGGTAATCCGATTTCGGAAGGCAGGTACAAAAGTCGGACCGGATCAACTCGGATCGACTCGGACCAACTCGGATCGAATAAAAAAATAAAAATAAAATAAAACTGGACTCGGATCAACTCGGAGCAATCAAAAAAATTAAATTAAATCAGCAAAACTGAAAGTTTAACCCATTTGGAGGGTAAAAAAGGCCAGATCATCCTTTTGGCGCCATTTTGTTTTACTAGTGCCAGTTCCTCTCGGATCATGTTATAAACTCGTGGTTGTGGTTGGACAGTAAAGAAATGATAGTTTCAGTCGCCTAGAATGTTTATTAGACTACTGAATTATTTATGAGAAAAGCATCAAAAGCCTGGTCTGTTGATCGCATTTAGATAGTTGCCGAAGAGTGTTTGTTTGTTTGTTCCTGTTTGTTTTTTTTCTGCAAGACTTCTGAAACTTAATTTTAATGATACACTAGTGAGCAGCACACATACATTTCCAGTGAACATTTTCTACTTGAAAAGAGAAGAAACCATGCTCGCCCGGGACAAAGGACATTTCCATGCCCCGGGCAAGAATCGAACTCGCGACCCTCCGGTTCAGTGGTTGGAACGTCCGATAAACATGTAGTATTCGGAGGGTCGTGAGTTCAATTCTCGCCTGGGGTACGAAAATTTTCGTTGTCCCGGGCGAGCATGATTTCTCCTCCTTCCAAGTTGAATATGTTCACTGGAAGTGTATGTGTGCTGCTCAGTAGTGTATCATTAAAATTAATAAAAATAAAAATAAAATTAATTTACGCAACCACGAGTTCGTGAGAAAAAAACAAAATGGCGGGTGAAAGTTAAGTGATACCGACTGATTTTATTTTTCTTTTTATAATCCGAGTTGTTTATTTTTTATGATCCGAGTTGATCCGAGTCCAATTTTATTTTATTTTTATTTTTTTATTCGATCCGAGTTGGTCCGAGTTGATCCGAGTTGATCCGACCCGGACTGGCGGTCCGAGCTGATCCGGTCCGACTTTTGTACCTGCCTGATTTCGGATGTCATCGTTTTCGTTTTTCACCTTGCTTAATGCGTAAGAGGGTTTAAAAGTCTCAAGCAACTATGACCTTCCTTGATAGCTTTCAGGAACTGAATCTCGAATGGTAAGCCTGAGTAATTATTGTATTTGATGTTTGTTTTTGTTATATCTAATTTCATGAAGTCGAGCACAGTTTATGCGGCAAGTTTATGCACGTTTGTAAGATTTGAGTCAATGATCTGACCTAGTGTCAGGTTTGATATAGATATAAGCTTACAGAACTTAAAAGGCCTTGAGATATATTTTCTCACCGCAAATAGAAAGAAAACGTTACGAAGAATATTTAGTTATAAATTTGGATGTAGAAAGAAACCTTTGAGCGATTTCCTTGCTTCGAGGAGTTCATCTTTGAAAAAAGCAAACACCGGGAGGCCGGCTTAAAGTAAAACATAATTAACTTAAGCTTAAAGACTCAGCATTGTTAGACACACTTTAACACCTGTCTTCGTCAATGAAAATTGTTGCCTCTGTAAATGTTTCACCCAATTATATTTCTTTTATTGATTGTTAGTAGTCTCTTTTGCAATTTTCATCGCTGGTAGGTGCCGTTTGTTTTCATCGTTCATGAACATCGCTTGCAGGAGTACTCAAAAATGTCGCGCGTATCAAACGCTTTATACGATTACACATCGTTATAACTGAAACCATTAAATAACAAAAAATAATAATAATAAATTCGTTATTATGTTGAAGCGTAACTCTATTAAAGTTCATTCAAACACTCGACCACACTGACAGCTCGCACTAGAAATGAGAACCGGCTGGCCGTATGGGTGATTTTGGAATTGTTTTGAACGGTTTCGCTAAAAGCCCACGATTGATCGTCCTGAATATTGACTAATACGTGCAATTTGTCTTGAAAAATTGCCGCGTTCTGTCCGAGGTCTGTATTATAAGAGGGTGTGAATGGGGTTAACCGACTAGCGACAATGGGTGAAAAATATTACTGACTACCGACCAAATGATTAAAAATTACCGACTACCGACAGGAAAAATATAACCGACTACCGACATGGCTGATATTATCACTATTTGTTTCCAGAAAAAAGAGCATTTTGCATTTTTTTCTAGGAAGAAAGTAACCTCTTTGAATTTATGACTCATCAGATGGCCTAACGGAAAGAATTTCCTTTTTTTTTGATACAGGTACATTGCTAAAGCCATCAAAAAAATATCAAATCGCGAAGTCACACCTTAAAGATGCTACCGACTTTATGAATTTTATTGAAACGACAAAGGTGAAAAAACCGAACGTTTCTTGTTTCGGTCCGAGAAATGCTTAGATTAATCCTCAAAGAAAATTCTTTCCCGTTTAATGGAAAGCACTATCAGTACAGACCCACGGTACCGCGATGGGCACAAAGACAGCAGTTTCCTTTCCAACATTTTCATGGCATATATTGAAATACAAAGTTTAATTAAGCAAAAACCGTCTTTAAACCATTAAACCAACTGTTTGAAAACGCTACATATATGACAATGACATTTTTTCCCTATATGGGACATAAGTAAACCAGACATCGTAGCTTTCTTCGCGGAACAAGTAAACTTACATCACCCTACTATGAAATTCACGGCCGTAATATCTGAAAATGAGACATTCTTTTCAGAAACAGTTGTATAACAAGGCACAACATTCAACGAAAAATGAGAAAAAGCTATCCTTGATGTAAAGACGCATTTTCAACGGAAACCTTACAGTCTATACATTTTCACCTCTTATCATCCACCAACTGTTAATTAAAAGCGCTTGTTGCACAAACGAGAAGCCTTGAGAATCCTACGAACAAACTCCTCTGAGGACTAAGTATTTCAGATTTCAAAAGCGCTTGATGGACAGAGGCTAGCCACACAATTTTCAGGGAAAGAAAAATTGCTATTAGAAGTAAAACTCACAGAAAGAAAGCCAGCTCTCCTGAAACAGAACAACAAGGAAGAAAAAGAAATATTGCCTTTCGTGACACAATACCAGCCCTTAGTGTCTATTATAAAAGAAGCTTTAATGAAAAAGTGGAATCTCATACAAAACCAACCACTACCTTGACAAAATTTTAAAGAACCACCTAAAGTGCTATATCTCTGAGAAAGGAAAATTATGATGGCAAAGGACATGCTTGTTGGAGCCAAAACATAGGAGGAATAGATGTGCAGCCTGTCACCCCTTGCAGTTTTTCACTAAAAAGTATCCAAAAGGCTAGAGTCCATTGATTAATTAATTACTTTTTACTGCGCCCTGTAGTCTACCGGGAAACCAAGTTCGCATTTACAATAAAAGCTTTGGTGATTTTATCAAAATTCATCATATTCATTTGGCAAACAATAGTGAAATAAACGATCATGTAGCATAAACAAACAAGACGGTTAATGAAGTTAAAGTGCAATCAAATGATGTATTCTTACAAGTTTTACTTTTTCCTTAGGGATCAAAGTCTCAAAAAGTGGGTGAAATACTTATAAAAAAATTAATAATCAACAAGCGTTTTTACTTATTCACTGAGATTTTCCGAAGATCGACAAGAATCGAAACGTTTAACCGACTACCGACAAAGATCGAAAATTTAAACCGACTACCGACAAAGTTACTGAATTCACCTCATATGTGATGTATAAAGAGTATAAAAGGTTGGTTTACACACCTCCAGATTTGTTTTCCAAGAATTTGTTTTCGAGGCCTAATCTACTGTGATCAAGGGCCATTATGGCTGTTGAATGTGATTGAAGATGTTTCCTATTTTTTGGGTGTACATATAAGGCGATCAACTCCATGTAAGAAATAACTTAGCCTTTCCCTCAAAAGTCACATGAATGTGCCCTTAACTTAACTGATTTGTGGATCACAAGTTTATTGTTTGATTTAAATTATAAATTTATTAATGGGAGCTTCGCTGTTAGCCCTGGCTAAATCTATATATTATGGGATATGATCAATGCACTTTTCCTGACACTGTAGCTGTCGAATCTACTTTTGTTGCTTTCTTTTAGCACTCGCAAACATACACCTATGGCTTCTCGTGCCATTCTTTGAAATTTCTTTGAAAAATAGTGAACTCAAAATCACCCACAATACCTTTCGGGATTGTCGCGTGCACTTTTTTCGACAACCTTTCTTGAAATAGCTATATTCAAATTTCAAAAACTTTCTTTCCAGAATTTCTGAATATTTTACTTTACGTCCAGGCTAACCCTGTATAAATGTGTCGTTAATGTTTGTATTCAGCGGTGATTTTTAATTCGAAACTGGACTATTCCCTGACCGCTACCGTTTCGACTTAGGTTACGCGTCTTTACTTAACAATACTCGCCTTGCCTTTCAAACTTCTAAAACAAAAATTTATAGGCTGCATGATACCCTTCAGAATAAAAGTCCATTTCTAAATTTCAATTATTGTTTCATTGGAAGAACTTTGAAAAATATATGATCTTTTATACTCTACCTTGAAGCAGGTGAAATAGAACTCATAAATTATGAAATACGTGCCGCGTTGTACTATTCGCGATAGCCGAATTAGGTCAAATGACTTGAAGCAGCATCCACACTTATTTTTTTCAGAATAGCTCAATGAGTCAGTTCGTAGCTGGTCAGGTCACAGGCGGCCCACAAAACCCATCGCAACTGCACAATAATCGCTCGCTCATCAACAAACACTGTTGACCTTTACGCTTCGATATGACCGCAAACTACAAGGTTTAATACGTGACGCGAATATTCAACCTTAGCGACTGCGTTCACGCGACAATGCAGTACTTGCTATGGGAGAGATGGTACTATTGCTTCTAGGTCAATCGACACTGAGCGAGGGTCCGCTGCGTTAGTTTTGACCAGAAAACAAAAGGCGATCGCCCGACCGTCCGTAAGTTTTCAACAGGGCGGCCCTGGTTTTCAAGTTCGAATTCTTCTAACGTTCGCAGCTGCTGTCACATTGTTAGTCCAGCCGCTTGCATAGCTAGGTTCTTGACTCTACTAGACCTGTTTGCTTAGATTAATTAAATAAACAGTTCTTTCCAGAACAACGTCTTACTCCACAATATGTTGTCCAAACTGGTGAGGGAGGACGAGGATTTTCCGCCCAGGAAAAAGGCAAAATCTGGCCTCGGCTACGCAACTGAATAGACGATAATAATAATTAATAATAATAATTGAAAATTTATAACGCGCCTTTTCCATGCAGATATGATCAGCTGAAGATATGGTAAAGTAAAATTTATGTGCGCGATATCTTTTTTTATTATGATTTTCAAAACTCGGAGGCACCCAACGACGATTTTCCCTTAAATGCATTGAAAACACATTTAAGGCTGTCCAGAGTACTTTCGATGTCTAAACATGCATTCTATTCGGCCCTAATACATAAATTTAGTCAGGAGGGCTAAAAGCGAAGCTCTTGATAATATTTACAGTTTGCTCATACTAAATATAAAATCGTGTAATGCTAAGCAGAGAAGAAAACGAGCCAGGGGCACCCAACGACGGTTTCCTCAAATACATTGAAAACACTTTTTTAGCTATTCGTAAAGTACTTTTAGCTCTATGAAATGCACCCTAAGTGGCGCTGTAAAATTTGTATCTCAGTGTTCGGCCATTCTAGGGGAACTTGAGTCTCTTCGAAATTACGAGGAATTCAGAATTATTTTCCTGAAAATTTTAGATGCAATTTAACGTATTACGAAGGAGATGATTTTTCAGATTCCTTCTCTCATCACATTTTTGAATCTGAAAATCTTAGGATTCCTTTTTACTCGCTACGAAAAATAGCCTAACGCGGCCGGGGAGTGAAATGTGAAAAGTTAAACTTCAGAAAATCGTAGGGAATTTATTAGCAAGATTAGATGAGCTTCGAAAATTGTACATGAATGGAATGGTCATCTAGAAATTTTTAGCCACGTGAAAGAAAATTCTAGGCAAAATTTGCTTCTCCGAACAGATATTTTACAGAAAACAGTCGTTGGATGCCCTCGACCAAAACTGTGAGAAACAACAATAGGTCTAATTGCAGCACACTTTCTTGTACATTTCCTTGCCGTTGATTTGCATGACTGCAACGTGAAACGTCCAGAAGGTTTTCACTTTTTATGGAGGAAATTCTTGTTCACTTTTTCCACTGCCGCTCATTTGTTTTTAGCTCCGCTATAAAATTCGTATCTGTTCGGTAATCCTAGGGCAAATTGGATCTTTCTGAAAATTACAAGGGCTTCAATATTATTTTCCCGATTGATTGACCTAGAAGCAATAGTACCATCCCTCCCATAGCAAGTGCTGCATTGTCGCGTATTAAGGTGGCTCGATACAGTTTTTCAGGGTCAATACTTCCCAAGTTTGAGCATAAACTACGTCGCCATAAACAAACATTTAGAAAAATTGCCACCACAGTTGTATGAGATAAAGATGAAAATTTGTTATGATCAGGGTGCAACGACATCGGAGTTGTCATAGCAACGAAATGACGCTATTACCTATTTTACTTGCAGCAGTATATCTCGACACTGGGAACTGTTCTTGCAAAATCGTTCACGGGAGCTTTTTACTCCAATAGCCGCCTCGATGTTCGTGAAGTTTAAGCGAAATCTGTAAGAGCGTTACCGAGATATTTTGGGATAAAGTATTTATAGTTAGAAATACGGTAAAAAAATGGACAATCTTGATGTTCGGCTTTTTTCTGTAGAAAACGAAGCTCTTTTGGCATGCCATTTTACCTCATAGTAGGTTCAATCTTTTTAAAAAACGTGTGTGAAAGATCCTGGAGATAGCTCCAGCCGATTGCTAGAAAGAAGGATTTGATTAGTATGTATCCAGACACTCTTGTTAGCGGTTTGTAAACATTTTGGTCTACTTTAGCAAATTAGCAATAATTTTTAAACCGCCCGATAGATTTTTCTTAAATTTAAGATTCTTGACATTAACCTTCCTTTTATATCACCTCTTAGTTTCAAGATTATTGATATATCGTAAGGCAGTAAAATAAGGACTACAATTCGCTACTATTTTTTCGGAAATTTTGTGTTTACAAGTGAGAGCCTCTCATTATTCAGGGGAATTGTCTCCAAGTTACATGTTTTCGTGCACAACAATAGCTAGCATTTTTGCATATTTCAAATGCACTGTTAGTTACTGCTGTTCACGTGAAAATGAAACTTGTTTATGGCGACGTAGTTCAAGCTCAAACTTGGGAGGTATTGACCCTGTAAAACTGTATCGAGCCACCTTAACACTGGTAGTTTGCTGTGATATCGAAGCGTAAAGGTCAACAGTGTTTGTTGATGAGCGAGCGATTATTGTGCAGTTGCGATGGGTTTTGTGGAGCCAGCGAGCAAGAAGCAGGAGCACACGTTACCTGCAGATTAACCGATGGCAATTTGGAGCGGATTCGTCGATTATTCTCTGAAGGCGCGTGGAGATGGTCCGTTTGTTTTGTAGCCAGCCTTTAATTCTTCTTTAGTGGATAGTACCTTCAATTGCAAAACTCACCAAATGCCACTTTAACCGGCCAGGAAAGACAAGGATACCTTCAGTTAAAGGTACCTTAGCCTTGTTTTGTTATATTTTGACTTTTGAACTATTTTAGTCCATGGGAGTCTCGACGACTCATCCTATTTTGTCCATGTGAATATTAATATATTCATTTGACACATACTACGTCTGGGCCGCCTGTGCTATGAATTACCTCTTTCTGAACAGAAATTTTGCACTTAATTCAAGGAAATTGTTGAAAAGATGATGTGGTAAAGTTTTGAGCATATCTGAACGTAAAGTAGTTTTGGTCGCCATCTTGGAGGGCAAGAGTATGCCCTTCAACATGGCGGCCAATACAAATCATACTACTTTGTTGAAAAATCAAGGCGCCATAAAATATCTCCCTTAAATGCGTTTCCTCTCAAATTTCGGGTGTAAGATGATATTTTTTATGCCCTCCGTCAATTTTTGGCATCAGCAAGATTCCAACTCATTGTTTAAAGGAAACATTGGTCACGTGACCTCTAAGTGCAAGTGGCCTATGACAACAACAACAACAACAACAACATCGAATTGATTTTAAAGTTAAAAAGTTATTCTGATTTTTAAAAAATCCGTGCTTTTTTAGTATCATTGTACATTGGATTCCCTTTTTTACCAATGTCTTCACTTCCGTTTTTAAGGTGGCTTGACTGGATTTTTTGGGGTTGATACCTCCCAACTTTGAGCATCAACTACGTCGGCATGAGTAAAGATATGGAAAAAAGGTTACCACAACTGTATTATATAAAGGTGAAAATTTCTTATGATCTGGGTTTTATTGCAATCGGAGCCGCCATGGCAACGTAGTGACGCCATTACGTTTTTCATTTATCTTTGTGTTTCTCTGTTCCAGGAGTTTTTTGAAGAAATCGCTTAAGGGAGTATGTACCTGGTATAATTCCCTCCACTATGGCGTAGTTTGAACAAATTCTATGAGAGCGTTTTCGAAATATTTTGAAATGTAGTTTTAAGAATAATAAAAACAGTGAAATAGCATGCTAGCCACACAATTCGCTAATATTTTAAGAAAATGATAAGCTTTGGGAACGAGGCTTCATCTCATAGTGATTTGATTCCATTGTAAACTGCATACAAAAAAAAGAGGGGAATTGCTCCGGGCGATCGCGAGTAACAAGAATTTTATTACCTTGCATTCAGCTGCTTTTGATACAGTTTTTGGACCTAATTTGGTCCATGCCTAAAAATTTCGCATTTTTCCAAAAACCGCTCGATAAATTTTTTTATAAATTCGACAATCCCGAGATCAATCGTCAAGACTAGCCACCGACACTGAGGTGAATAATTGTTTTAGTATATACTAAAACAGTGAGATAATTGAGCACAAAAATGATGATTTTTAACTCATTTACTGTTGCCTGCAACGATTACAATTTTGGCGCGCAATGACCGAACGGCCGCGGTCGTCGCTTTTTCTTGCCGGCAAATAAAACTTTTGAAGGCATTTGTTTAGCTCTTCCGGGGAAATTTCCTCAAAAGGAGTTGTGAATTCTTTTTGTATTTAAAATCATTCTGTAAAAAGGATTATTAGATTTAGTTTTAAGCTTATTTATGAGCAAGTCAACTACAAAAAGTAACGCAAGACTTAAGCTTAATTTGCATTTGTAAACAACAAAACTTTTTCGCCGGTTTTATCGATAAATTCAAGTCAAAAAGACAAAGCTTTACCTGTGAAAACTTCCACCCCGAGCTTCGTCACTTTTTTCGTGTATTTCGGAAACAGCTTGCTTGATTAGTCGTGAAATTTCTTTGTTTGTTACGGCAGTAAACCGGAAAGGCATTTTGCAACTTACGCGAGTTTGGCGTCTCTCGCTCGTAGGAACTGGAGGTGAATCAGTGAATAGTGCAGGATAGTCACTCATTGAGTAGCCAATCAGAGCGCGCGAAAAACACTATCCACTGTTTTAGTATATACTAAATAAGAATATCTACCTGGAGTTATGAAAACCGGGTTAGCAAACATTTTGTAATTTTCCTCAACTTCCCCTGCCTGTCTAATAGCTTGTTTACTCTGTTGTTTGCTTATGTCGTTTGTTTTGGCTTGTTTTGTGGTTAGGGAGTTAGGGATGTGGACAGAAGTACTATCTAACCTCCCCCCCCACAATTATGTTTTTGTTGTCCCTACCCACAATTCTCTCTTTAATACAAGTGACAGTTATTTGAAATCAGTGCGCGCCTAAAGCTGGTTTTGGTGTCGTTTAACAGTTTACTTTTAGATATTGGTCTCCCGGAGAGAATCATGTAAAGCTCTGAGATGGGACAAGGTTATTACGATTCGTCCAATATCGTATTATATTCTCGTTTCATTTGGCTAAACGGATCAATCACCCTGATCCGGGCTGAGACAGAAAGGTACGATATTGTTCGCTTTTCTAAGGTGACCACTAAGTCTTTGGCTTCGGGAACAGGCTCTTAGGAGTCCAATGAATTAGGTGCGAGCAAAATTGCAGGCGAACTTTGACCCGGGCCTCTTTCTTTTCTTTCTGGTGTTAAAACAAGGCTAAGGTGGTCCGACCGTGTGACTCTACATCCGGGAACTTTAATAAGACGAGTGTAAGAGAAAAGTCCAGAGGTGTTTATTTGCCAATAGGCTTATGTTGAACGTGAGAAGATTATGCGTGGTTGTGGATAGTCTTATCAGTGTCGCAAAAGTGTGTGATTGTGTGATTTCCGCATGGTGTTGACAGGTATGTGATCGCCTGGTTGAGCTGCGGTTTGGCCAAAATATTCTGTGCCAGCCATTAACACTGTTTGGTCGGTGTTTAGCTTAGCTGATTGTACCTTGTAAAAGCAACTCTCGACTTAGGAAAATTGGATCTACGTCTAGTTTCAGCGGGCTCTAATGTCATTGAACCATAGGCCGATTTTGGCAGATAAGAAGCTGATAATTTGTGCACTATGTTACATTCAGTTTGTTGTCTATTCCATGCGAAATCCTGTTGTTTATCGGACCGCGAAAAAAGTTGTGTTTTGCTAACTATTTACGTTGTTATGTAAGCCTTAACCAGGCACTCTTTCGCTGCACTTCACTCAACTTAAAAAATTTCTAGACTGAGATGACACCGGTTTGAAACTTCGCGAAGCCAGATTACGGAATAAATGTTCTAAAATTTGCGTCATTTTAAATTTGGACTCGTTGGAATGCTTCTAGGGACCATTAACTTACTGCCCGGCGTCAGATAAACGGTTTTAATCGGCCTTTGAACGTATTTTATTCTTTTAAATTGCCAACTAGTAGAATGAGTTGATATTTTTGCTAACCCGGTTTTCAAAAATCCAGGTATATATGTATCACAAAAATAAATATTACAAATATTAAATAATATATTAAAATAAATAATAGATATTAATAGTTATAGTACAGAGTATGAAAAAGTAATTGATCAACTGACTTATTTCGATGAAATTCTAACCACAAAAGGTGCAGTAGTCAGTATCCATTATGAGATCAGAAATGGCGAATTCAAATTTTCTTAACTCTGGAATAGCTCTAATATTGTTAGGAAGGGAATTCCATAGCTTGCTGCCATAATAAGAGACAGAATGAAGCCCATAGCTGGTGGTGGCAGCCCTTGGCAAGGTTAGGATATCTATGCCCTGCAGATCCTTATTACTATTTCGAAAAGTGAAAAGCTTTGAAATGTATTCAGGGCTTAAACCATGTACAGCCTTATTGTCAGTGCAACTGTTGTTAAATAAATATTTTGTATTTGTTTTCACTGCTTACTTTCTGGCTTTTTTTTCATCCAATCAAAAACATGCATACCTCCTAATCCTTGCATATGTAGCGCTGGTAGACGTCGAACGAACATTGAACCAAAGCGAATTCATCCACAATAATATAAAATGGACATTTCACTCCTCAAAACATGATTTTTTTTCCAACTTCGACCAAAGAGCAAAAAGTTCAAAGGCGATACGCATTAAACTCCTCTACGAGGAATGAAAAGGTATTATATCAAGCAATAAATGAAACACTTACCATAAATTCCCCCTTCACCGCACTTCACCTGACCTCGTGGAATAACCGCTGACGCGAAAACGGTCAGCGCTTTTCAAGTCTACTTCCGGCGTAATCTCCGCCCACAGTACCACAAGATTCCGAATAAGGCTAATGCCCCGCCTACCGCGGCGCAATATTTGTGCTTAATCCCCGCATAGTCCCGGGGTTGAGGGGGAGCTGGGACAGGGATTTACATTGACCGGTGCATAACAAGTTTAAAGAGGAACAAAGGGAATCAAGGAAGCTTGGAAATGAACGTTCCTTATTAAACAAACATATGTGTACCTCGTGTTCTTCAGTAGGCGATAGTAAAGTGTCATTTGTTGCCTCTCGTGTATTTTCATCGACGCTGCAGGACTGAGGCGTTGTACATTCTGAGTCTGAAAGAGGTCTGGGACTGGGTGAGTGGGCTATAAATCCCTTAGAGGTGCAACCACTGTCCATATCTACACTACGCTTGAGCTTTGACTTCTTATGTTTTGAGTGTCGTCGTTTTGGTGTGCTTTCGATCTTCAAAAAGCTGCAAAAAATTGTAAACGTTACCTTGGCCTCACATGTTACAGGTACATTTCACTACGAGCAAGCCAAATTGCTCGGGTAATTAGCATTTATATTTTTTATTCATTCGTTTGTTCGATCAGTCTTTTTGTCACAATGTTTTTCTCTCCGCTGGTGCCCGCCTCGACTAGCTTATAAGCTAGTTAAGGGCAACAAGCTCTGCGATTAGTACTGTAACTTGAAAATTAGAAATAAGTCGTTGTTGTTGTAATAATTGTGATTATAAATCTCATACTTACTGTGAAACTCACAAAACCGTGAACACCAGAAATATTTACGGAATGTTATTGTGTTGCGAGAAATTAGCTAATAAGGCGCGAGAGAACTAAACCGCAAACAGTAATGGTAACTAGTTAGTGGTTTTGAGGTTTACTAGCGCATCCTGAACCTTATTGAGATTTGCCAGTACACAATCAACGTTCCTGCAAAATTTCACCTGTTTACGGTTTTCTGAGTTTGACAGTAAGTGTTTTATTCCAATCATAACTTTTCATATTTTGAGTAACAGAAACCTAAAATATTCCACTATGCGCTATAAGGAGCCTAATACTACTACTACTACTATTAATAATAATAATACAAGAATTTATATAGCGCCATTTCCGTGAGCTCAATGGCGCTTTACAATAATCGTAATTCTAAAAAATAAAAAAAAATTGAGTTATTAGAGAAAATATATAACAGTTGTAGAAATTAATTTCTAAAAAAAAGTTAGATACATTCAACTTGCTAAGATTAACTAAGGAAAATATATACAATAAAAGAAAAAAGGGTAGTGAACTATCTAATAAAAGCCTCTCTAAAAAGTAGTGGTCCTAAATGACTACTGGTCCTAAATGACATAACATTTTTTTAGCATGTGATACAACATGGACGGGACTGGATTGGTAAAACATGGACTGGATTAATAAAACATGGTTTAATAAAACATGGAGGGATAAAACATGGTTTAATGAAACATGGAGTGATAAAACATGGTTTAATAAAACATGGAGTGATAAAGCATTGATTAATAAAACAAGGAGTGATAAAACATGGCGTGATATAACAAGGATTTATGACGAAGTAAGAAAAGGGTTTTTTGCTACGTTTCATAGGATCTGAATATGACAAACATGACTTAGGTACAGTGATGTTCCAGTAGCTCCTGCTTTCTGTCACGCAATATTTCCGGTCGGAAAAGAAATTAAATAGATATTACTTTTCTCAAAAGGGACACTTTTGTTTGCCAACAACAAAAGTATTTCGAATAAAATAGACAGTTTTATTAATCATTCAAACTGTCACGATTGATGTTGTGTTTTGATCAGTGGCGGCGAAGTATCGCTCGCGCGCGCGCGAGAGAGAGACAGGTTGTTTACCATATATAAAAAAATTCCCGCCTTTTTTTTTTGGGAATTTTCGGTCGGTAAGAACGGTACGTGCCCTTCAACATTTGCCTAAAATTTCCGGATTGTCGCGCCACACTACACTGGATTCTAGTTATAACATGAAACCGGTACGAAACTCAAGAAACTTGTAACTGGTAAACAAATTTCCATTCGGAACGTCCCAATCGGGAAAACGGGACTACCTTTTCAGAATTTCCGTTTGTCCCAGGAATTTTCCAGTGGGACGAATCAAAATCGTTTGCCATTTACATCCCAATCGGAATTTTCGGGAATTTGTGGTGAATGGTTAACAACCACAGTGACAGAAAATTGCACCATCAACGTCATCTCCTCGTCTAATCAACGCAATAGAAATTGCTTACCAAAATGGTCTTTTGTTCGAAGTTTCGCGCCAGATTTCCTAGATGTTTTCGGTCAGAATTGCAGCCTCTTTCAAGGTGCCATCTTTGGCCAAGAGGTCAAAACTTGGAGCGTCGTTTCCAAAATTTGAAGAGCGTGACATTGTATTTCAAGAAAAGCTGGGAAGAAGCAAATTTGGTTCTGTTTTTCGGGCAAATTTTGCAAAGGAGAGTGCAAATGTTGTAATCAAAAAGTTGAAAGGAGAGTCTGCAGAAGCCAAACACCGGTTCGAATAAGAAGCGGGCATCCCGAACAGAGTACACCCCCCTCATCAAACCTTCTCGGATCCGCCCCTGATTTAAATTTTTGGTACATGGGACAAATTCGATTTTAGAGAACTAACTTTAAGTGGTCACAATAACATTTTATATCTTGCTCTTGTACAATATGATTCATGACAAGAAAGTTTGTGTTTCTTGTTTTAAAATAGCACCAGTCAAGTTTTTAATTCTTGGATCCACATCCGCTTTAAGGTGGCCCGTTCCTATTTATATGTGTGTTGGTTATATTTTGGATTCGCGTTTTTCAGAATGAAAGATTCAAACGATTGCTACGATTTTTTGCATCCTTAATAAATAATGACGGAACTTTAAGAAAATGTTATTTATTTCCTTATAGGTATAAAAACTTTTGAGATATCGGCATATATTTAAAACCTCATTTTTACGAAAAATGAAAATAACTTCGAAATCCCACGACAGATTTTTCCCTAACTTCAGCAAATAAGCCTCACAGCTCTCTAGTTTTATGTCTGCAAGTCTGAAGGCAATCGTGACCGTAGAAATCGCTCCACAAAATGTTGGTCAAATTTAATGCTAAAATGATAGGCTAACACATTTGGGAACGTAAACGCACAAATAGCGGAAGAGAGCTGACAAACTACCTCTAAACTGAAACATTGTTCTTACCCAAAGCATTGTTGGAAGAAAATGAGTAATCGGACAACTACGGCGAACACAGTTAGCGCTTTAATACAACCAACTTTCTGCTACATGAGCTTTGAAATTAAAAATATTCTATTTATCCAGCTTACTCTGCATTTGTCTGTTCATTTTCGACGAAAATATTACGAAAACAAAACACAGCATCTGCAAAAACCGCTTGGCAGTTTTTAGCTTCAAAGTTTCTCGTTCTGAGGCGAAATAAGCCCGCTAGTTCGAGAACCTCGCCATCCAGTTTTCAACTGCAATGAAATCCCTCTAACACGATAATATATTCAAGATCTGGTCAGCCAGGTCAGCGTATACTCTAGTTTGACAGCTGTCAATTTACCTTCATTAGAATGGCGAATATTCGAATTAACAGACTACGAACAGGGGCGTAGCTAGGGGTGGTCCTGGGGTGCCCGTGACCCCCCCTCGGTAGGCCTTCTTTTGAGCAAACAACCTACAATATTCAGGTGGCGAAAACGCCATGACAATATCTTGGCCGTAAAAGCCAGGTTGAAAAGTCCACTTTTGTTTTTGTTTTTGTGTAAAGTATTTTCGTCAACGGCTCTTGTCTTTAGTTAATATGGGCCTTGATGCCGCGATAATACGACTGAGCCCGCTGATACGCGAGGGAGAGCAGCGGTATAAACCATATATAGTCGGCGATCCCCGGATGGTGACCCCCCCTCCCCCCCTTGACAAATCCTGGCTACGCCCCCGACGAATGTGAATAAGACATATCCGTCCGGCTTGTAGTGGAAAATTACAGGTCGTGTACCTGAGCGAACCCGAGCCCACGTTATTAGTTTTCTGATAGTGGTCTGCACATTTCCCATTTTGACAGCTGTCAATTGACCTTAATTTGGCTTGCCAATATAACTTAAACGACTGTCAGCCGACTGACAGCCCTACCCGGCGTAGTTTCGTTTTTATGTTGAATAGGTAAGTGTGACATATTATATCAGCTTATATGTAGGGGCAAAACGACTGGTCCTTCATTTGAGCTCGCGAGATGGTCATGTGATAATTGTCAGCGGATGTCTGATTTTGACAGCTGTCAATCTAATCGTACTCATACGGATGGCTTGCATAACTGAAAGGATAGTCAAGTTGTGCAAGATCTATTGTGACATTTGACATCAGCTTACATGAAGTGTTTGTACGGGTGGGCGGGCGGGCGTACGCTACGTCATAACAAAACTTTCTCGGATGGATAGTTTACCGAATTTTGTTACCCATGGTGCTCCGCTGCGCGCGCTTTGCGCGCGCGAGAATTTGACTCAGTGGTTCATTAGAATCAATAGTTTACTGCTTCTGAAAAGTGAGCAGAACAAGAAGTCATATATTTGCAAATGTTGACTGTGTTTTATTTTAATAATCCATATCTCTCCATGTTTTGTCACTCCATGTTTTATTAATCCATGTTTTATGAATCCAGTCCATGTTTTACCAATCCAGTCCAGTCCATGTTTTATCACATGCCCATTTCTTTGACATACGTTCATTGATAGCCCAAGTAATGAAACTGCTTTGGTTCTTAGATTCGTTCTTAACATGTTCTCAGAGTCTGGGTCAATATAAGCCCCAAGGTTTTAAAAAAGGATTTGTAAAGAGAGTAGTGTACCACAGCAAACTTACCTTCTTCTATTAATAACTGTCAAGCGATATCCTGTGGCTATATCCCAAACACATATTTGTCCACTTAAGCAGATACTGATAATCGACGATACAGTACACTTCAAATGTTCTACACTCTGAAATGACAAAAACGGTTTGTTTAGGTCGATTATAGTAAGTACTGGGGTAGTAAGACATTTCTGGCGCATTTCATTTCTGCTGATAACAAATCTGAATTCGTCTAAATCATTCCGATCAAAGGAGGTTTTAAAGAAAGAGACTGTGATCAAGTTGTGCAGTTCTATTTCAAAAGTGTCTCAAACATTTCTCGGTATCGGAAGAGGACAAACCTGAGTGTGCCCCCTAAGACTGAAGGGAACACTCTCCACCAATGCACGACGTCCATACCCAGTCCTCTTCCGGCCACTTCCAGACCTCGGGTTAACTTGAAGATCGTTGAGAAATTTACAAACGAAGAAGAGAATTATCATTACAACCACTCCAAGTACTACGCAAGACAAGGCATTGTGATAATACTTCGCGTCCAGTGTCTCCTTGCCCCCAGCGGGCGTCTCTTGCCCGTTCGCTTGGGACTCCTCAAGTTTAACAGTTCCATACACAGTCGTAAACTCATCGCCATCAGTAAAGAGCTCACCATTCTGTTCGAACGAGTTCTTGACAAATATGTCTGTATCAATGTTAACACCAAGATGAACTGGAGGCAAAACAGTCACGTACCTAAACCCAACATAAGGCAGCTGTCTTTTAGTCTCCTTTGAAGCCGTTTTTTGTGTCGTCAAGCAACGTCCTCTCCACGATGAGCGCTGCCTGATGACACAAAACAGGGCTTCTAAGGACACTGTCATTGTGTATAAAATATCAGCAAATAAACTGGTTTTCACACCAAAAAACCTTCCGAAAAACCATGTGACAGATTCCTTTGCAAAAAATGGGAAGACAGATCACCGTATGGACGTTCTTTTAACAGGAGTTTTAACTTCCGTGGATGGGCGGTTTCTTAAAGTTTGCGGGAACGAATTTGTGAGAAAACCGTAATATGGGAAGAAACTGGCGCCGTATGCTTTTTATTTAGTCGTCTGTAAATACTTCGATCTTCTCGTGGAATTGGTGGCCTAGACGACGTAAACATTTTTGAAATGGACTTGCTAATTAAAATTAACTGACATTAATTTACCTGCCAAGGAGACTGATATTGTAGTAATTCAGCACGTCAGGCCAATATCTTTGATAAAGACCATTCCAAAACTCAACAGACGTGGGTTTCTTGAGAAACTCTCTTTTCCGTCTCGTTGCTTTTTCTTTAAGCTCCGCGTTCATTTCTATCTCCTCTTGCGGTAGCTTGATTTTGCTATCTCCATATTGAAAGCTTGAGTTGTCCATTGTCGAATGTGAAACTGATGTTTCCAAGTTTGCCCATTGTTTGGACGTTTCCCCTGACTGTGAGCTCGGACAACTCAGGATATACATAAAATATATGACAAAACCGATCTGAAAATTGAAACAAAATATGGTGGCTGCAAACCTACGTTATAGTTTGTTTGGCACTTGCAGAGAAAAAAAAATGTTTTGCACAATAAATTCAGTTACAGCTTCTTCTGTTTTCTTGACTTTACCTTATTAACGAAAAATAACTGTCGATTATAAAGACTGAAGAAAATGACTTCTTCTCGTTCTGGGTGCAATATTGGCTTTTCAAGCACATTCAAAACATGACCATCGATCCAACGATTAGGGCTACTGAGGAATACTAAACTGCAAAACCTTAACAATGAACACTTTTGCAGATTTGAATTGAAACTAAAAAAGCGCGGTTCTTCTTTTTTTGGAATTGAAGCCTTTGCTGGTCAACGAATACGTCTTTAATAGGCTGCTTGTTTTGCTTTGGAAATAATTATGTGGATGGAATCCTTGGACATATTCCCACCAACAACTGAAAAATTGCACTCACCATACAGGCCTTCTGAACAATCCTTGTTCTTGCCCAAAAATAAGCAATATTAAGCCTCTTGGGTAGCTTCCTTGGCAAGACAGGGCACTCTCTTGAGGGCGTGCTTTGAGCAGTCAGTGACGATAATGGCAGAGGTGGTAACAAGCCAAAGAACTGAACTGGTTCAGGAGAATGAGGGGGACTGGGAACTGGTGATGTTGGAGTTTGAAGTAACTTAGAAGCTGTCCCTGGTTGGAAAAAAAAAACGTTTTCATAATATCTAATATCATAATTTCTACATGTACTTGTTACAGGGTAAATTTAAAATTCTGTTGACATAATAACATACTAAGAACCCGTATTTCTCAAAGTTAGCCTAAAAAGGTTCTTAAATAAATAGTTATTAACACAAGTTTAGGCTAGCGCTATTTAGTTTCTTAAATAGGTTCTTATTTTTTGAAGAAAAATACATTGTAGCTAAATGTATTTAGTGGTATTCAGTTCATTCATTAGGTAAAACCTTTTTACCATTACAATTGCAGTTGGAGTAATAAGGCACCTACTGTGTGTCTTCAAAGAGGATCCTGAACGTTGACTTACCTTATTTGCCGATTTTGCCCAAATGCACAGAATTTTAATAGATTGTAGGAAATAGGAACCTGTTCAAATTTTAGGGTCCGCAGGTTCTTGTATAGAGAGGGCCTAACTGGCCAATTTTAGCCTAACAGGTTCTTAAAAACGAGGTTTGTACTGTAGTTATTTCCTGTTAATAAGATCTCTTAACTAAGAGTAGGAAAAGAGCACTTGTGTCACCAACCTTGTGAGTCGGCCGAGCCACTCCTTTGCCTTGAAACGTGTTGTAGTCGTTGAAGATCTGAAAGCTAATGATGAATAATGGAAAAACCTTTAGCAAAACAACATCACCCCTTTAAAACCTGTTCCTCTTTGTTTTTCGCTCGCAAGGTCTTCCATGCGTCGTCCTAGCCCTGTCATTTCCTTTCCCACCCACCATTGTCATCATTCAAATACAAAAGCAAATATTTTTAATATAGAAGCTAGTAACTCACATCTGCATCGGTCACTTTCAATCAGAATGCGAAATTGCATACGTATAGCTGAAGTTGACTAACGCTTAAGCGGAGAGCGTACATCGAAGTGAAGTAAACCATGTAGGAAAATCGTGTGTATAACCTATTGATGCGGGGCATTTCGGCTATGACGTCATCATACGTGAAATAACGTATTCAACTGCATGCCCCTTTTTTTGGCGGAAAATATGAAGGCGTTTCCAATTTTGCAGAGACTAAGGATTATTGGTGTCCAGCTGACTAAAATAGACGAAACACTATCTGTAGGCAAATTTTTCATGTTGGAAAGATTATACGGCTGTACGAAAATACGGGAACCGTGAGCGGTCTGCTAAGGAATCAGCAAAGAAAATTTGTCCTCTGAAATGACGAACTCTTTTCAAAAAGTGAATATTGAGTGAAAGTGGATTTTTCAGCTTCAGAACTTCGTATCTTTCGTCACTCTATCGAAGAGAATTCAAAACCTTATCATGACGATTGACAGTTAAGCAACGGCCGGAAAAAAAAATCATGGGAACACGCAATTGACGTCGGCGAAAACCCAGGTTTCAACCGAGAGAAAAAACCTTTCGAAGACACCGGTAACCACTTAAGGTGAAATCACTTCTTAAATTCAGCTGAGTAATTTACCTCCATTCTTCTTATGTCAATAGAAAGAACCGTGACAAACAGCACCATTTGAAGGAAGAAGTCAGACAACAGACAAACCATAGCAAAAAGGCAAAACTCCTGCATAAAATGAATAACATCGAAAAGCAGGTTGTTAAGAAATCCCTTCCATTTTCATTCCTGCAAAAGTATCTAGTGAAGTTAGAGATGTGTATCTTTTCTTTTAGTAAAATCCAACTAGTGGTCTATTATGATTGGTTGAGCTACTACCAGGCTATATGTTATAGCCTACTAGTGGCGAAAAGCGCCGGCTTTTTGGCGGCTAAAAGGGATTAAAGTCTAGCTTTAACAAGCTAAAAGTTTTTTATTCTCGATATTTTTGACCAACTAGTTGGATTTTACTAAAACAATTATTCCTCTCGCCCTCATGGCCTCTGAGTCAATAGGCCATTCGGCCTTCGGCCTCATGGGCTATTGACTCAGAGCCCATTCGGGCTCGAGGAATAATTGTTAATAACCAACCACTACACGTACAATGCGTTTGATTGGCAGAAAAAAAAAAAAACAGAACATGGGGGTTTCTAAAAATCTCGCGAGTCCTCAATTGGGATCCACCCTTGACTTATTATTGCGATAAACTTTTGAGTATTATATTGTATATCAGGCAGAGGTGGACCGTGGTAGATGGTACTGTCAGGAGAGTCTCTAAATGATATAGCTACGGTAAGGTGTTTATTCCCTGTAACCAACAGTCAACTTACACTTAAACTTCATCATGAATATTTAATTCATAAAAGCCCAATTCTTTTCTGTGCCTGTAAATCTCCTCAAGTGCGGAGTTCTTATTAATTGGATGACTGGTCTCACTATTCCTAAGATATTAAGGTAATAAGCTCAGACAATTCTCTTTTAAGGTTATTCATAGAATTACGACCAAGAAAGAACTGCTGAAATACAAATTAGCCTCTGATGACAAGTATCCTTTCTGTCTCAATCCAGATTCAATTGAACACACTTTGATATATTGTTAATAGTCAAAGAAATGCTTTTCCAAAAATTTTGGGTGGTTTAATGAATACCATAAGGAATGCATAAAACTTTCAAACAAACAAATTTTATTTAACGCGTTCGAAGACTTCCATTGCAAATGTCAAATTCAGCTCAAAGCAGACTTCGTCTCTTGGTGTTAAAATACTTGTATACTTGCAAAAACATCGCCAAGAAACCTTATTTATTCAGACGAATAAAAATGATAACAAGGAAAGAATCCAGGGGAAAAAATTAGGGCCGAAAACATTGCTCATTATACTTGATATACAAGCAAACAGTACCATTATGAAAAAAGTTATATTTTGTTATACAGTAATTATATTTTCTTTCGTTCATGCAAATTCTGCCCCCGCCCCCGCTCCATTCCCACCCCAGAAAGACATAAGTCTCTGAAACGTGTGTAGTTTCTCTGTTTAATCCATCAAATGTGTTACGTTTAACAACACACCAACTACACCAACTACAGTAACTACACCAACTACAAATGCTACACATACTACACCAACTACAGTAACTATAGCAACTACAACAACTACACCAACTACACCTACTACAGCAACTACACATACTACACCAACTACAGTAACTACAGCAACTACAGCAACTATACCAAATACAGTAACTACACCAAGTACACATACTACACCAACTACAGTAACTACACCTACTACAGTTACTACACCAACTACAGCAACAACAGTAACTACACCAACTACACCAACTACAACAACTACAGTAACTACACCAACTACACATACTACACCAACCATACAGCTACTACACCAACTACACTAACAACACCAACTACTGTAACTAGAGCAACTACAGTAGCTACCGTAACTGAAGTGGGCAAAGTGGGTATGGAATGTCTCTATATTCGTGACAGTTATCATGAATCATTACCCAAATTGGTTACAAGAAAATTTGCGCAAACTATTTTAAGAAATCACCTCGGCTTTACAATATCAACAATTGAATTATGCTTCATGCAACGTAAACGTTGATAGCCTAACATTTATTTCCCTACAAGAAAATTATCAAACTGCCGAAGTATATTTCTACTCACATCATGTTACTTCCACTTAACAAAACAATATGTAACAACGCGCAACGGGATCGCACACTTCGGCGTCGTGGTTGTGGAATTAATTGTAAATGCGGAGGAATAGTAAGAAATGATATTTCTTCCGGATACCCTTTCGTACAAATACCCTTACTTTTCTCCTTTGAGTAACACACGTCTTAACTTCTTCACCGGAAGTCTGCTAGATGCATGACTACGTTTCGACTATAATTTCTGTCATAAATAAGTTGCGCAAAAACACCTTTATGTACAGCAACGTAACTAACATCAGTACACTCCCTTACAAAACTTGCTGAAAATGCACAACCTCCACAACATCGCAACATAAGATTTATGAAAAGCAATAATACACAATACAAAAACAACCATGAAAACACCTGCTCTTCCAAACAAAACTAACAGAAGAACAATGATAAAAATGCTTATCAGAACGGTCACGAAACCACGGTAACTTCAGTTTGCTTCTCCTTGTTGACAATCTATCGCTTTCCGAATCCCTCCGTCTACACGCAACGCAAATCACAGGTGGCCCAAGCGTAATATGAGAGTTTGTATGGGAAATAAAGAGTTTGAAACTTAGATGAAATAAATTAACTAAAAGCGGTAAAAGTTATCAATAAAGTGTAAATATTGCTACCTGGTGTCGTTGTCTTTGTTTTTTACGAAGTTTCAGCGCGATTTGAGTACTTGTACATCATCTGACCTGACAGTGTAATAACAAGAGACAGATGATGTCAGGTCAGATGATGTAAAATCGCGCTGAAACTTCGTAAAAACAAAGACAACGACACCAGGTAGCAATATTTACACTTTAATGATAACTTTTACCGCTTTTAGTTCATTTATTTCATCTAAGTTTCAAACTCTTTATTTCCCATACAAACTCTCATATTACGCTTGGGCCACCTGTGCGCAAACGATCGTACCGTTTCGAATCACTCTTGCTGCAATAATCTCCAGTAATCGAAATCCCCGTTCACTCTCAAACTTTACTACACATTTCTGTCCCCAAAATGTTTTCCAGGAAGGCATGTAACTCAGTTGTGTAATCTCGACTTTCTTAAAACTGATTTCGAGATATCTCGAACAACTTCCGGCCTCACTTCGGAAGCAAACTGCAAGTTTACGACATTCTTCGGCGTCGCAAATCCTTTAATACTTTGAGCTCCGCCTCAAATGTTTATTGAAGCCGAGAAAACTAGAAGTGATTTCGCGATATCTCCAACTCATTTCGGTGTCACTACGTCAAATACCCAAAACAAGCCGACCAGTAACAAACTTACCAATACGTGCCGAATCTTTTCCCGTACCTCGTGCATAACTTATGGCTATTTTTCACATCTCAAATTACCTTGCGTCGAAGTGTGACGGGTCACACGAAAGCCGGTTCTAACACTCGAATAAATTATATAATAAATCAAAGAACTCGAAGTGATCTCGAGATATCCCGAAGTAATTCGGCTCTCACTTCGTCAAATAGCCGATTCAGGCCGAAGACCCACGGACTTTGCGTGCCCAATCTTGTCCCAAAAAAAGAGAACTTTGGGACATTCCTGAGCTCTTTTTGACAACTAGCTTCTTCCAGTTTGATTCCCTGACCCTACTGTTTCTACTTAAGTTACGCATATTTACTAAATAAAATACGCTTCAATAACTATAATGGCTCTTCAGCACCAAGCACGTTTTATGTTGTTCACCTAATTCATGTTTTTTTTTTCAGATACGAAAAAGGTCTGTTGAACTTTGTAAGGGATAGAATAAATCTTGTTTATAGGATTAACAATATTCGCCTTGCCCTTCAAACTACTAAAACCACAATTTATAGGCCGCATACTCCTGAATAGAAGTCCATATCTAAATTTCAATTATTATTTCATTGGAAGAACTTTGAAAAATATATGATCTTTTACGCACTACTTTGAAGCAGGTGAAACGGAACTCATAAATGGTGAAATACGTGCGTTACACCGTTCGCGATAGCCGAACTAGGTCAGAAATGTCTTGAAGCAGCATCCACACTAAAGTATGGACCCTTAAACAGCTGCATCACTGTAGTCACCGTTTGAATAAAAAAGATATTTCAATGTCGTGCTTCTAAACACCTTTAGCCGTAATAAAAGACCAAAAAATGATGGATGTGAAGAATCAGATGGCGGTCTCAAAATGGCCTTACTTGACCTCAAGGAATGTCATCAGTTAGATGCCAAAATCTTATTGGTTCCTAGGCCTCAACTCATAGTACCTTCACCCTTATTGGCCCCTGCAACAGACATCCGAACATACAAAGCCACAAAGATACATACGCTCAAACCACTGAAAAATGAGCTCTTCTTTCAAAATAGCTCAACAACACGTTTATGGCATCGTCAGAAAGACTAAAAATAGCTTTTAATCTTGGACTAATTAAAATAAATAGATCATTCTGCTGCGAGGATACTAGGGAACCATTCCACTTTTCTTGAGAAGCGCTGTATGTGGCAAAAAACTAATTTTATCGTACAATAATCTTCATTCAGCACGAAACCACAAACGTTACTGACATTTGCCAAGTGAAATTACTTTCTCGTTAAGTGCTAGGGTCTTCGCCGCAGTACGACCTCAATTAACTGTCGACCCGTTGATCGGACGCGCTGCGTGCGCGGCAGTTGTACTCACTGATCGCAGAGTTATCAGTACAAGCTTATAGGAAGGCATGTTGATATTGCACATAACAATACAATCTGAGTATAAAGCTGTTTTTCCCGGTCACAAATGAGCACCTTAATGTAAGAAAGAAAAAGTCACTTCACATTGCATAATCTAATGTGCACAGAATTTTCCTCTGAAAAGCTAGTAGTTTAATAGCCTGTACCGATAGGTTTGAATGAAAGCCCTACCCAAAACTTAAAGTATGATTATAAAAGGACGACATGCAAAAGAATAATCAATAAAATTCAGCCTACATGTTGGAAGGGTGTGACACAGTTAG